TGCATACATTTCTGTTGCATATCATACATAGTGATTTGTATTTTTATGTAGGTCTGATTAAAGAGTAGAAGGTGAGTACTATGTGTAGTTATTTAATAAAATATTTACTTCATTTGTCGATTGTACATAATGTAACTTCTGACATTCATCACTGTGTTACATTGTCTTTTTTGAATAATTATATTATTAAAACGTCATACGTTAAGATTTAAATAAAATTAAAGTGAGTACATTCTGACGAGTCGCTGACGAATCTGACACAAATATATTCGGACACTTTTCCGAATTCACACTTCTACATTCAGACATACTTTGTACAGTCGCTTTTACTATTTTTTTTAACTTTTTAAGTAATTCTTAAAAATAAATACGCGTATTTATTTTTAAGAATTACTATGTGTATAGTACATACACACGTAGTGTGATAAGATTCTTATCTGATGTCAATGAGACCATATAGAACGTACCCTTACTAAAGAGAGAGAAAGGAGTCCTTAATAAAGAAGGAAGTTCTCAGTTGGTCGGAAACAAATTAGACCTCCATTTTTAGTAATATAAACCCAAGTTTTTATGCCCTGATTGTACAAAAAAGGTTCATGTCATGGTGTCCAAATTGTCAGGGTCAATTCCTACGGATGTTTTACTATATTTGTCAACGAATCGTCAGTGTCACATTTGGGCAAAGTGACACGACGTGAGTATTTTTATTGAATTACATACTGCATTTTTGCTCTGTGGTCCTCTGCTCGTCTAGCGATTGGTATCTACACTATAACCAGGCATGAACAGTATACTAAACAAAACTCTGGACTTACATTATCAATTGCCGAGCTACGCTGTAAGTACCCCGACAAATTAAACTTGTAAATCCATGAAGTCATGCAGCTATGAATTTAATTATATGTAGGTAATTGATTTCTCTTACATAAATCATTAGGAAATAAAGTTTAATGTTGTTTCCTACTCGATATGATTGCATATCTTTTATGACCCGATTATGGTTTTGCTATCGTAATGTAACTTTATCAATCCCAACTTTGTTGTATGTCTCAAAGCACTGACTGACTCGAATGACCTCGAAGATCAACTGTGAAGGTGATGAAGAGCCTTTATACTATCAGACATTCTGTGAGTAAAAAAAGTAAACGAGAATTCTATATAAAACAATGATCATATTATTATTATTAAATGAAATTGTAGATTTAAAAGCTAATAGAACTGATAGCCATGATACTATTACCTATAACTATCATTAAGATTATCATCTACGAGATTTTTACTTACTTTTTTAATTTGGCAAAATTTATAAATTTTTGTTTATTTTATTATTTGACTAATATAAGTATTTAATAAGATTGCCACATATTATATTCACGGATTAGTTTTAACTTTCTTAGAAAGGTGCTTTCAAAAGCCAGCAAAGTTTAAAAGTAAATAAAGTATCTACATAAGATCGTGGTGTACGAGTATGTGGTGTTATTTAACTTGTTGTTAAAACGCTAAAGACTGGGGACAATCTCGGTATAACTTTGGCGATCACGTAAATGTATTACACGATATTCGTACGTATAGAGATAACAAAACATTAATTTTATCACGCCGTCAATTATGGTAATATAAAAAAACCTGTTAATTCTTATTTTTTAAATTTTCTTAAAGCTCACACGTGTTTAGCTTAAACAAAGGTATCTTGTTACAACATTTGATAATAATTGTCTTTCGTTTAGATGTATCATAATAATGTTACGAGCGGTTGTTTAATAATGTATAGTAACAGTCACGAGTGGAGCGCACGCGCAGCGCAGGGCAACGCGGAAGTCGCACACACTTCCGCGTGCCGCCATCTTGGTTAACACCTTGTGAGATTCGCTCGTTTCTTAGCGGTTTAGGTACAGATTTAACGTTACCCATATCTTTATAACTTCTATTTCTATCGTCTTCAGGTTGGCGATAACGTAATTATAAATCAATAAAGGAATACGGATTGCAAATATTAACGAGTAACGTCATATCTGTTTGTTCAGACAAAATAATATTAAGAGACTATTGTCTTGACGTATTTTAGAGAAACAGATTAGACTGGTTTACTAATGATCTATCAATATTTAATAGTAGGTGCCAAATAAGTGGAAGCAGTTTTAAATTTGCATGGCATTAACAGTGTCGAAAGAAACAACTGTCTCACGTAGGACTAACTGAAAAGGTTGTAATTAAATAATTTTGCCAACTTTTGCAACATTTGTGTTTCGTGTTTATGTTAGTATAAATAGCTAAATGTAAACTTTATCCGACACTTACTAGATAATATTGAGAAATTGCCTAGTCACCGAAGCTTTAACATTTAAGTCAATTAGAATGATTTAGGTTTCGAAGATGCTAAGATTTAATAATAACCAGTCTGGATTTACGTAAGATAACTTTAAAATTTCTAACATCTACTACGGACATAAACGGACTATCCGGTATCCAGCTTTTACAGGAAGCTGGATAGCCAGGATATCCGGTCGTATGACCTATTTGCTGTATTTATAGAAAGTAAATACAAATAAACGATTTCCAAACATAAAAGCACGTTTTTGAAATATCCCACAAAGTTGTTTTATCTTCACTAGGTAGCAAATTTTCACACTTTTCTCGTTTTCGCTTCTTCCCGTCACTAACACTAATATTCAAGAGTGGGTGAAGTCTGAACTCTCAACCTATCGATTGTAAACTAGACGCCTCAACTATTACGCTACTGTCGCCCTTTAAATGTCTACTTCCTCCATGCAGCAAAACTGTTTATTTTCATTATAAATCCCTGCCAATATATCCTTATTATCATCGCTGTAGGTAGAGGTATGTACAATATTAGAAAAATATAGTATCTAAACTGCTATTCTCAATTCAATCAATTTTTAAAAATGACATTTAACTCTAACACCAGCAGAAATGTGCAATGATAAATGCCCCGAATTTCGTGTTCGTCAAGTACTCACTTCATATGCTCTTGCAATTAATGCTAATTTACTTTACATACGGTTACTCCTGCATAACAATGCGAAATCAGCGTAAGTGCCCTCACCCTCTCTTTCTAATTGCGGAATCACTTGGTGGAATAAAAAGAGATGACCCACTTTCGGGACCGGTCGTGCGAGATCGGGTGCGCACCGTTGCACACATTACGTGTTAGAAGATGGGGTTATGCACTGCGCGAACTGCGCTGGTGTAACGGAACACAGCCGATGTGAATTTTCTCGCCCTAATACCGTTTTTGCGTACTTTTTCCGATTTTGTAACGCTGCCGTCGGCAGTTGTGCAATGTCTGACACGGCTGCATTTCATTTCTCAGCACAAATATAAAGGAGGTTAAATTATAAAAAATAGGCACGTGTCATATTAGCGTATTAAGTAAAAAATGTATATTGCATTCTTGTAATATTTCGTCAGATTTAAGTATAATAGTAGGTATGTGAAGTCAGAAGTAGAATATTTATTTTAAATATCAAAGCGGTTGTCTATGTAAATCTATAATTGAATATTATAATATAGAAGGGTTTAAAGAGAGATCGGATTTCCCGGTATCCGCAAGTTCAGGTTAAAGGTATGACCTTGACCTTGGGATTGAACATTGCTTTGCCCAATTTTGACTTAGTGACCTTTAGTGAAGGACCAAATGATAAATCGTATGATAAAACTGGAAGTTCTTATTACAACTTACGGTAAATGTACTCAAAGGAAAAAATAAATTGGTACTGAGTTTTTAACTTGTTTAGTCGGACAGCCAGGTTCCGCTACTGGATATAGGCCTCTCATATTTTTAGCTTTATAGCTTACTAGCTTAATCTTGCAATAGATTATTTATTTAGCTTAATATTAATTTCCGCAGTTTCACCTGTGTTTGTGGCCACTGAACAGCCCCTAAGGACCGTGGCCCATGTTACATAGCCTTCTTCAATGAATACTCTATCCAGAACCAAAATAACTCTATAAATATGATTAAAGGTTTAAGAATGGAGAAGAATCGACCTTTTTTTTGACACAGTCGTGGCCTTGCCGAAAATATGTAAGTACGTTGACATATTGATAAGTCCAAATTCATTTTTAGAAGTCGTGCTACTTGTCTTCATTGTCGGTGCCAATAGTAGCATAAGTAAGCTAAAAATTCTAAAGATTATATCGATGAGAAGAAAAAATTCACACTACGCATATTTTGGCCAAAAGTATAAAAGAATAATTATCTTATTGACTTGGACATAATCACCATATTTGCTAAGCTAGCGACTCTAGTTTAGCAACTCTTGTGACGCCGCTATTAAATCTCAAGTAAGGAAGAACATACGAAATCTTGTTTTAACCATGTAAAAACATAAAAAAGAAAGAAAACTATTTTAGAGTGGTCATTTAAATAAAAAAAGTGGTAAAAACAGGGAAATAAAACTTAAATGGCTTGACACTGGTACAAAATTGGAGAATAACCCATCTTTTTATCGGTAAACATAGTACTTCAGATTTATTTTACAGTTATCAATATCGTTAAAACAAAATATGAAGTAATTTTACGTTGCAAGTTGCGTTTCGTAACAACTGTATTATAGTACGTTGAGCAAGCCTCCAGGCTTAGGTAACTCGGCATAGTTCCGAGAGAGATTATATACATCCTGCTTAGCGGACGAAAGCAATAAGAATTATTTCTTAATAGCTGTGGGTGTTGCCCATGCCTTAAGTACTGCTATCGTCAAAGACTAAAACTTCAGTTCTTAAAAATACCTACTTAAACTAACACCATCTTTTTAATATTAATTTACGCAATAAACGTGCATTATGTAACAATGTGCTGCGAAATGATAATGCAAATTAGCATAAAAACAATGTTTCTGGGCCAGTCGTTGAAGTAATAAATACATTTATTTAATGTGTTTGACCACGTTAAAAAAAACTATCAGGTTTATTAAAAACAATACGTTTACGTTACGAGAGTAAGGATAAAATAAACATACAACCCAATAATAGGAGGAGGATCAGAGAACGGATGGCAACCTGTCAATGTACAGTTTACGTTGTATTACGGGGTGTGGTAACACAGGTCGCGACCACAGACTCCTGTACGTGTTTCTTGAGCAAGGATAATGTCCTCCAGGCCTGGCAGTGCCGCAGCGGTGGTGGCAACAGCCGCAACTACGTAATCCCGCAGCAACGGCACTTCCTGAAGGTGGCGCAAGCGGTACGCGAATGTCGGCCGAGCATTTCGCGCCACTTTCGTAATTCGTTGCGTGGTGCGACCGGCCGCCTTGCCTGGCCCGCAGGAAGTAAAAGTTCGAAGGTAAGAAAGTAGGTCTCCACTGTAATTGGCAACGCGCCTGCATACTGATGTTTACTATATTTATATAGGTTGCGGAATGCGGTGCGATCACCTGTGAATACAACGCCAGTGTCAATCCACTAAATGTCACCCGACTTATTGAATATTATTTCTTGGTTAATATAATTGTGCCAATTATATGTACATGAATGGATTATACACGAAATCAGTAAAGTATTTCGTAAATAATAGTAAGTTAAAAACAGATGGTATTTTATCTGTTCAATATTGTGGAAGATTTTAATAAATTATATTGAAATAGGTTGGGTACATTTTATTAAAGCATATGTTATTTTGTAACAGTATTATAGGATAGACATCACGTATATGTGTTACGCTCGCACGTTTGTATGACATAACTTGCATGGAAGGCGCAGGCGCAGGCGTCGTTGCTGACCCAATCCACTCGCCGTATGACGTAAGTTCGGCAGCAAGCATCGGGCGAGCACAGCTCGAACTGGGCCGAGATCCGAGATGCGCCGAAACTGATCGTTTGCGCAATCAGCTACTACGTCGTCGTCATGTGTGCTTCCAGGATAATTACTGCAATTTGTTAATATAATATCATTGTGTATGGGGTTTTCGTATCCTTTTGGATAAAAACCCCTTATTAAAAAAAAGATAAAAAAATATATCATTGTGTATGTTTGTGCGCTGATTGTTGAGAAAACGTAAATACCTAATTACTCAATTTACTAGTTTATCTGACCTATAATATGTGAGCGGAGGAGTCAATCAATTGTTAACTGGATAGATCTCAATGCTAAAATAATATTCAATTCTTCGCATCTTACATATAAATATATTAATTATGTAATAAGATTACGATCTAAAACAATTGCTATGACAAGTTTTATAAGAATTATAGGAAGAAACGTTGTACTGGGATCGCCCTATTGTCACTGACAGGACTATTGTTGCCAATAAACCTGATATAGTGGTAATAGACCGATTATACGCAGAGAAATTATTGTTGACATTACCATTCCACATGACAATAATCTCTTAAAATCTGAAAAGATAAACAAGTATTTAGATTTGGCCCACGAGATTGTCAACATGTGAGATATGGATTCGGCACTTGTACCGATAGTCATATCCGCCCAATGATTATTTGCTCAGAGCCTTGACCAATATCTTCAGAGGTTCGTGTTAGGCAGTTGGATTAAGGACCTGATGCAGAAAGCAGTTCTTCTTGATACGGCACGTATTGTGAGGAGGTTTCTGTCTTTGGAGTCTTAACCACAGATAACTTGGTCCCTGTACCCGATACCGATGGGACACTTTTGTACATAAATATATTCAAATATGTAATTTAAATGTATATTCAATGGACTAAAGAGAATAATAATAATAAAGTTTATTAAACAATATACATTTAACTGCATGGTACAATAATTTTTAGGGTAGTAATAATAATAATAATAACAACTAGCAACACTGAAAGCAGTCGACGTTTCTTTTACATATTTTCGAAACAAACAGATTTTACAACAATTTACAATATCATAAAATAAGCTAAACAAATTAAAGAACAATAAAATGGATGCTTTATATAAAAATATCATAAAAAATGCTTCAAATAGATAAACCAAAAATAAATAAAGTAAAGTAAGACATGACGTCTAACGTCATGTCAAAATACATGAAAGTGTTTTTCCACCCAAGAAAGACTGTAGAATGATAACAAGAGCTAGGTCGAAAGCACAATTAACATCCCCGGACTCGTCGCTTCGCTCCGTCTTGCCGTCCACGGAAACCACAACAGAAGCTCCGGCCGTGGCTGAGGCGTCGAGCTCAACTTCAAGTGACGAGTTTTTCTCTCCACCGACGTCGCCAACACCTGTACGTCGGCAGGGGAGAGGCCGGCCACCGATCTGCTTAGGATCCCGAGGACCACTGACCTCGAATAGGGTCCCCGCTACCGGTGGTAATGTGCGCCGCATGAAGTGGACAAATTCTATCAATGAGAATGTCATGCGGGCATATTATCGGGCCACAGAGATGGGAACAAACCTTACTGCGTACCGTGTTTGACTAGTCTCTTTGTTTCAGGAGCTTGAACCTGCTGTCAACGTATCAGCACAACGATTGTCGGATCAAGTACGAGCTATACAGCGCTGTCATCTGCTGGATGATGCAGTACTTGAGAGGATACGCTCTGACTTACGGAATAGCTTGATTATCCCTTCTTCGTCACACACTGTGGATTTGGTAGCTAATAGCACACCTCAGTTAGTATCACATACCAATGATGTTGATGAATTAGTGGAGGGTGAAGTTATATCTGTAAGTACCCAATACAATGATAGGATAAGGAGCGCTTTGGAGGATGCGATTCTAGAGTACCGGTATGTGAATTGGAATAATAGACCCCGATTGTCCCGTTTGCCCATTCATAAACGAAATTTAGCGCTTGTGGGTGCCCTGGATTCGTTATTGCCTGATTATTTAGACAATAGCGAAGATCTTGGTGATACACATTCTATTCTGTATTGTGCGGCTGTTGCAGTTTGTCGAGTAGCTGGTGTTAATATAGTTGAAAATGTCACTACTACTCGACCTAAATCAACTGTACCAGCTTGGCAGTGTAGAATTGAACGTCGTATTGCTGAGACCAGGGTGCTTATTGGTAAGCTAATTAGTTTTCGATCAGGGAATACGCGGCCGAGAGTGATGCGCTTTGTCAAACAGGCATTCTTGGGGACTACCATTGGTCCTCAACAGTACATGTCATGTGTCACAGAGCGCATAGACTTTCTAAAGCAGAAAATTTATGCATGGGCAAATAGGTTAAGACGGTACAAAAAACGAATAGATCGGTATAATCAGAATCGAATGTTCCAAAGAAATGAGAAGTGGGTGTACCGGAAATGGGAGGAACCGGATCCATGTGTGAGTCATGGGCATTTGCCAGATGAAAATGTCACACATACTTTTTGGCGAAACATCTGGTCGGTGCCTATCACTCATATAGAAGGTGATTGGTTGCGGGATGTCAGACGCTCATGTGAGTCTATAACACCTATGGAACCAGTTATAATTGATAAAGATGATGTAAGCTGTGCAGTTCGTTCATTACCGAATTGGAAATCACCAGGTTTAGACGGACTGCACAATTTTTGGCTTAAGTGGTTCCGAAGCTCACATGCGTGTTTGGCATCTCAATTCCAGGCAGCTTTGGATTCGGGTTCATTACCCCAATTTTTAACCACTGGTATAACCCACTTACTCTATAAGTCTGGTAGTGTCATGGATCCCAAAAATTTTAGACCTATTACATGTTTACCAACCATGTACAAACTTCTTACATCTATTCTGAGACTCAAAATTACTTTACACATTAAATAATTCGATTATGTCAGTTTCTCAGAATGGATGTAGAAGTGGGAGCCGTGGCACTAAAGACCTCCTTATTATAGACAGGGCCATTAGCCAACAGGTGCGTCGTAATCGTAAGAGTTTGGCGACATGTTGGATAGACTATAAGAAGGCTTATGACTCGGTTCCACATACATGGCTTTTGAGGGTGCTGGAGTTGTATAAAATTGATACAACTCTGTGCACTTTCTTGAAGTCATGTATGGGGCAATGGAGAACAGCGCTTCATTATCCAGGATGTCGGCAGACGATGGTAATTGATGCACCAATAAAGATTGAGCGGGGTATATTTCAAGGTGATAGTCTGAGTCCCTTGTGGTTTTGCCTGGCTTTGAACCCTCTTAGCACTTTATTAGAGGGTTCAGGGCTAGGCTATAGGTTGCAGAAAGATGATCAAGTTATATCTCACCTTCTTTATATGGATGATTTGAAACTACTAGCCCCCACCAAATTACAATTGTCAGCGTTACTAAAGGTGACGGAAAACTTTAGTAATTCTATCAAAATGGAATTTGGTGTAGACAAGTGTGCAGTCATGTATGTAAAGAAGGGTGAGATAGTAGAATCTGAAGGAATAGAGCTTTCCGATTCAACAAAACTCAGACCTCTGTCTGCCACTGAAACTTACAAGTATTTGGGTATATCACAGTCGTTAGGCATACCAGAATCTGACATGAAACAAACGTTGCAGGAACGCTTTTTTGGCCGCTTGAAAAAAGTACTTAAAAGTCTTTTATCAGGGGGCAACAAGGTGCGAGCCTGCAATGGTTGGGTCATGCCGATTCTGAGGTATTCCTTTGGTATACTTAAATGGACTCAGACCGAACTAGATGCCCTTGATAGGAGAGTCCGTACATTGCTGACTGCATTTCGAATGCACCACCCACGTTCATCGGTTATGAGATTGTATATCCCGCGAAAGCTAGGGGGTCGCGGATTATTAAATATCAAGACCCTACACAATCGGGAGATATGCAATCTCAGAGAATATTTTCTACATACCGATGTGGGAATGCATCGCAATGTAGTTGCAGTGGATATCGGATTCACCCCGCTCGCTCTGGCTAAAGAGAATTGGCGCAAACCTGTAGTAGTTAGTACTAATGATCGTAGGGAAGTATGGAAGGGCAAAGAGCTCCATGGTCGGTTTTATCGGGCCCTAAACGGGTCCGATATAGACTTTAAAGCATCTACGACTTGGCTACGGTATGGTGATCTCTTCGGAGAAACTGAAGGTTTTGTTTGTGCGATTATGGACGAAGTTATCATGACGAATAACTATCGGAAATATATCCTGAAAGATGGTACGGTTGACATCTGTCGGGCATGCCACCGTCCTGGGGAATCAATCAGGCATATTATTTCTGGTTGTTCTCGTCTTGCTAACGGTGAATATTTGCATAGGCACAACCAAGTAGCCAGGATTGTACACCAACAGCTTGCCCTTAAATACCATCTTGTGAATCTAGAGGTGCCATACTACAGGTATGTGCCCGACCCAGTTCTCGAGAATGGTCGGGCCACGTTGTATTGGGATCGATCTATTATCACAGACAGGACTATTGTTGCTAATAAGCCTGATATTGTAGTGATAGATCGATTAGAGCGCCGCGCAATGATTGT